ACGCTGCATGGTAAGCCCGAGTGTAGCTCGGGGTTACCGCTTTTGGTACTGAAACTTTACCCCGAGCTAATACCGCCAAGGAGGTTAAGGCACTAGGGATCAACCAAGTCCCCAAGGTCAAGTTCCAGGGGAGTTTGCCAGGTGATGTTCTGCTCCATCCAACCACTGCAAGGCTGCATTAGGGCTATCAAAGAGGTGAAAAGCGTAAACTGCAATCACTCAAAGTTTAGCTGGATACAGCATGGCATATTGAAGGCCCAATGCCCGAAGATAATTTTTGACATCCAGAAATTTTGCACTTTGTTTTTGAACTTCCACAGAAAAATCTGGAAATAAGGATACTTGAACATTATCAACTGACAGGTTACCTTTGCTTCTGGCCCTGGATAGAATGGTATCTCTGTATCTCCCGATAATTGAGGAATCTGGACAAAAAGGGCTGAGGGGGAGCACGTGCTGGGACTCTGTGCACATATTCTACTGCAAACATGGGGGAGAATGCATCACTGCCAAAGGTAGAAGTCAGCCAGGCTTCAATAAAGGCTACTGGATTTTTACCCTCAGCGGGATATCCACTGCGCGCACATTGTTGCAGTGTAACCGATTTTCTAAATCTTCCAATCTAGAGGCATTAGTAGAAGCAATCGATTGCACATATCACACGTCCCTATGTAATGGTTGCCAATCATCTTCCAAGGTACTGACTCTCCCCTTCAAGGCCGCAGTGCGATCCCTCAATTTCTGCATATCATGACGCACCAGGGTCAATTCCATCCTCATCCCCTTCACCTCCCCCCGGTAAGAAACACAACAGATGAGGTGCATATAGTGACCGCGGAGAGAATCTCTCTAAGGGTGGGTTCAGGATGATCTTCAACGGAAACAGCAGCCTGTGTCCCATGAGGCTGGGATGGTGGAAAACTCACTGAGGGACTGCAGGATGGGATCTCTTGGTCTGCCAGTGCAAGAGGGATCTGAGTAAAGCCTGCACAGTCTAAGTCCAGATCAATAGCAGAGTCCAAAAGTTGTTTCTGGGAAGTTTCGCTGATGAGCGGCCTGGCAAAGAACTTTTGAGCAGACTCCCTCTGCTTCTCCTTGGATACACGGATCGGGGTACCGCCATCTTGCCCAGCCGACGTTCTTTCCCCTTTTAGCCAGGGGGGTCGGAGGGGGGGGGTCGGAGTACACCCTGGGGACCCAAGATGTCCTTTTAGCCGGAGAACAAGGTGCCAATCAGGATAGATTACAGGATGCAGAGCGGAGCTCACTGAGCACACGTTCTACTGCATGCGAAGCTGGCCACACCCCCCCCCATGCATTTACTTTGAGCTGATATTATTTCAGTTATCTCACACTGTCTACAACAATTAGATCATTGTAAAATATCAAGGAAAGACCACACAAAAGATTGTGCAACCCCACAAACAACTACCCAATATCACATAGTGATGGTGATATTGTGCAAACACCACACCTCAGGTTCAGTCTAGACTTGTTTCATTCAATTGGATTGTCCATGCTTAAGGCAAGATATGGACTGTTCAAATGCATAAATCAAGTTTGAAGCTTAACTTGGAGTGCAATGTTTGCTCTATAGCGTATGTTTGAGTGGAGATGGCTCAGGAGCCATGCCTGCACCTGACGTGGGAAGCAGACCTTTAACCACTTGACCTCCAGAGGATTTACCCCCCTTAATGACCAGGCCTCTTTTTGCTATACAGCGCTGCACTAATTCAACTGATAATTGCGCAGTCATGCAATGCTGCACCCAAACGAAATTTACGTCCTTTTTTCACACAAATAGAGCTTTCTTTCGGTGGTATTTGATCACCTGTGCGTTTTTTATTTTTCACGCTATAAACAAAAAAAGGCAAAACATTTTGAAGAAAAACAATATTTTTTACTTTCAGCTATAAAAAAAATATATAGTAAACTCAAAGTTGGTTATAAAATTTAGGCCAAAATGTATTCTGCTACATGTTTTTGGCAAAAAAAAAATCCCAATAAGTGTATATTGATTGCTTTGTGTGAAAGTTATAGCGTCTACAAACTATGGTATAGATACTGCAATTTACGCCATTTTTTTGCTATACAGCGCTGTGCTAGTTTAACGGACAATTGCGCGGTCATGCAATACGGTACATAAATGAAATTTACATCCTTTTTTTCCCACAAATTGAGCTTTCTTTCGGTGGTATTTGATTGCCTGTGCGGTTTTTATATTTTGCGCTAAAAAAAAAGGTTGACAATTTTGAGGAAAAAAAACAATATTTTGGACTTTTTGTTATAAAACATGTCCAGTAAAAAAAATGTGAAAGTTATAGCGTTTACAAATTGCGGGAAAGATACTGGGATTTTTAGTTTTTTTATACTAATAATGGCGGCAATCAGCGACTTATGGCGGCGATCAGTGACTTATGGCGGCGATCAGCGACTTATGGCGGACTGCGGGACTGCGGGACTGCGGGACTGCGGCGGACATTCTGACATTGGGGGGTACTGACTTGGTGTCACTGACATCCCCAGTGACACCAATACAGTGATCAGTGGAAAAAAAAAACACTGACACTGTACTAATGGCACTGGGGAGGAAGGGATTAAGTTTATTTTTCAGGGAAAAGGTTAACTGTGTGAGGGGGGCAGGGGTGTGTACTGCACAGGACACCGCTGATCGGGAGAGAGAAACTCTTCTGTCCCGATCAGCTTGTCCTGGAGCTGTCAGGGAACTGACAGAAAGCACAGCTACTGCAGCTGTGCTCTCTGTCAGCGATTGCCGCCGATCGCCGGGACATAGCCAGTAACGACCGGCTGTGACCCGGCGACTGACATCTGCGGCTGTGATCGGCGGGACAGGTAGGGCGGCGGCACGCCTCGCACGCGCCCCCTACCTGTTTACAAAACACACGTTTTAAAATGTGGTTTTGCCCAGCCGTGCCGCCCTGCCACCGTGTTTATACAGTGGCTTGGCGGCATGTGGTTAAGCAGACCTAGTGAGGACTGGACAGCGCTGTTCTTTTATTACGTGCCTTTGACATTATTGTCATCTGTGAGTACATTACCTAGTATCTTTTATCAATAAATGTTTTTTTTAAGCTAATGCACTAGGCCTGTGTGCCCTCTGTTTGTTTTCTTTGTGTCCAGTGTATTTGGACTTCCTCGGTCCTTTGAGGGCAGCAAGGCATGCATTTTCCAAGGCATTCGATATGTGGTTGTAGCCTTTGTGGAGTCCATCCCCAAGCGCAGGAGTATATCTGTTTGCCATTTTCAACTTTCATTTTGGACTGCAGTGATGAAAAAATTCAAAGGAGCAGGATAGAAATTTTTTCTTGAATGAATGAGTCTCTAACAGCGAATGTGGAATGAGTTAAGGAAAGTTAATTTGTTCCAAAATCATATGTTGAAAACAAACAACATTTTTAAGTACTTTTGATTGCCATTTGTTAAGTTAATTTTCAGCTTTCAGTACTGTCTCACTTGGAATGACAATGTACCCAAATTACATTTTTATCACGTTGTTCACACAAATAGAACTTTCTTTTGGTGGTATTTAATCACCACCTGTTTTTTTTATTTTTTGCTAAATAAATTAAAAAAGACTGAAAATTTTTAAAATAAAAAAAAGTCTTCATTTCTGTTATGCAATTTAGCAAATAATTAATTGTTCTTAATAAATTTAGGCCAAGATGTATTCTGCTACATTTCTTTGGTGAAAATAACCCAAATCAGTATTTATTATTTAGTCTCTAGGAAATTTATAGAGTCCACAAACTATGGTATGTATCTGAAAATCAATCAATCAATCCTGATGTACTGATGGCTAATCTCATTTCTTGAGGCCCAGAAACGTCAGGACAGATATCCGCAAATGACCCCTTTTTTGGGAAGTAGACAGTCCAAGGTATTTAGTAAGAGGCATGGTGAGGTTTTTGAAGTGCTATTATTTTGTCATCATTTTTTTTAATTGGAAAATGAAGAAATTTAAAAAATCCTTTTTTTTTTTTTAACATAATGTCACTTGTGCAATACAGTGTGGTGTGGTGGTGGTCAGGGACACTGACTGTTGACAACAGTACGAAAAATAAATAAATAATTGTTTTTTTAATTTCTTTTTCTTTTTTTATTACTTTTTTATGATTTCTTTTAACACACTGTGACCAGTGCAATATAATGCTACCATAGTAACATTACCACATTATGATTGCTTATAGCAGTGAATTTCACTGTTATAAGCAAGCATTTTACTGAACTCATCCAGTGTGTTTGGTTGTGATTAGGTGTGATTGACTACAGCTAATCACAGGGTATAGATGGGCTGTGCTAAGTCTGTCTGGGCTGTCTGTAAGTGATCACTGTGACCAATCACAGCTATCAACACAATTGTACACAATGTATGGCAAGAATAGAAGCCATTCATTGTGTACAAATGTCATCTGTGATCTGCTGTGATTGGTCATAGTGATCCCATGGTACCAGCAGTATAGTGATCTGGAGGACACAGCCAGGAACAGATTGCAGCCACAGCACGGCCGCATAGCCCCATGTGAGGCTTATTCTGGGAGGACATCTGGTCTGATACTGATGCTTAGAAATATACTAATGCAAGACCTGACAAACATGTATATCTGTTCATGATTAATGTATGGAATGATAGTATTCAAAATATGAATTACTTTTTTCCTTATCACATCTTTATTTATACCTCCACACTTACATGCAAACTAATCTTTCCAAAGTGACAGTGTCAAGGTTAGATCAAACTATAGCATTAACTGGGTACTCACAATAGCTACCTTAAGTTTGCATGGCTTAAATCTTTAAAGATTCATCTTTTTTTTAATCCGTTAGATGTTTGTTTGCCAAACACAAGCCCCCACATTCCCATTTACTTCAATAGAGTACTTTGAATGACTGGAAGCTGCATTTAACCTTCTTTACTTTTTGTTTCTTTGGATGCACCAGGTTTTATTGTGATGTGTTTCTTTTCTGAAAAAGCAGATCGAATGCATCCTTTGCCAGGTTTTGCAGTGAACAGTCCATGAGCTTTGTTTTTGTTATTTTATTAGGGGAAATAACTTGGATAGGGTAATAGGCAGGGGCGGACTGACCATTTGGAAACTCAGGCACTGCCCGAGGGCCCGGGGTCAGTAGGGGTTCCATCAGATGCCCCTGGTACCTTTTTCAGAGGCTTTTTGGAGTTTGGGCAAGGACACAGGGGCCCCATGATCCCCTATTGCTCGGGGGCCCCATGAGTTGTCAGTCCGCCCCTGGTAATAGGGATTTTGGGATGACCAACTTGACTGAATCAATGCAAAGGGATGACTTTCTTCCTATTTACAGAAACAGATCCTGAACTGTTTTTCTCTTTAACCCTGGGTTCACACTATGTGGTGCAGGACTCCGCATGTAATTTGCACAGGAATTGCACTGCATTCCTGTGTGAATTACCTGCAAATGTCTGTGGGGTGCAATTTGAGCCATACATTTTGTGTGGTTCAAATCACATCCACACCAAAAAGGTGCAGGACCCTTTTTTAAATCTGCACCTGAATCACATTGCATGGGTGTTCTCACCCATGTGATATGATTTCTGGCAATCGCATCGAGTTTTGTGATTTGTTTCGGGATGTCATTAATTTATCATTGACACCCGCACCAGATCACAGGAATGCAATGCAATTGCAATGTGGTGCGGGAAACGCACAGGATTCACAGCATCTCCCACACCGCATTGAAGTGAACCCGGGATGAATGCGGTCAGTCTTTGCAGATCAGTAGCAAAAGCCCCTTACAGGCTAGGGACTCCCAGCCCCTTTGAAAGTTAGCACAGATTGCAAACTACATGCAGAAGTATCTCCTCTCCTCTGTAGCACTGCTCCCAGCTCCACAGCCTGCAGACACTACCAGCCCTCTTGGCTGCTCTAAACACCTCCCATGACAAGGATAAAGGGTTAAGCATTGCAGTCTTTCCCCTTATGAATCCTTGGGTGTGCTGGTGTACTCATGCTGTCTTCCTTGCTCCCACTGATCCTAGACCTCAATCCTGTTCATACAGTGATGCTGAATGGATCCTTCTTAGGCCAGCCCCCTCCCCCCCCCCCAGACCTAGGGAACCCCTCTCAGGCCACTGAAAGCCTCCTCAGCAGTCCATCTTCCACCCGACTCCCCTGCCAGCCTGACTCTCCCATTTTTATGGGTTGGCCTCACCACTCTACCAGGGCCTCTAACCTGGGATTGGTTAGACTCCCATAAACATGCAGATATAGATCTCCGCCCACTGGCTTCTTGAAACTTCAGTGGTCTGCCAGAACCAGGTAGAGGCAATTGAGTCCCAACCTGTTAAGTCATCCAACATGTCCTGCAGTAGCCCAACCTCATAACAGACTCACCATGAGTCATACATAATACATGTATTTACAGTAACCCTAGTAGCACACTAGTCGATACTGCACTAGTAATGGCAGAAATCAGTGACTTATAGCAGGACTGTGCAGCAGGAAGTCTGACACTAACTGGCACTTTGTAGACACTGACTAACTGACCCTGACATCCCCAGTGACACTAATAAAGTGACCAGTGCTAATAATATGCACTGTCACTGTAGTAATGACACTGGGTAGGAAGGGGTTAACTTCTGAGGCAATTAAAAGGTTAACTGTGTGCCTAGCAAGTGTTATTGTGTTGACTGTGTACTGTTTTACTAAGAGACATGATGGTCTTTATTCCCTGGGAGACAAAAAAATGCCACATCCCAGCAATCAGTACATAGACATTCTTGTTTAGTTACACAGTTGTCTCTCCTGTCTTCTGCCCCTACAATCGGCTGGTCCCGGGCATAAATCATAGGCCAGGACCCACTGATCGGTATTAAGGGAGCCAGTGAGAGTGCAGCCAGGTGGGCGGGCACGCACGCCCCCTACCCGGAAATAAACAATCATGTATATTTATGTGATTCTGTGCAGCTGGTCTGCACTGTAGCAGTAAAACTACAGTACTTGGTTGGCAAGCTGTTAAGCAAAACCAATCACCGATATCTGCTTATTTTATCTATCCTGACAGATCACCTCTATTGGTTCTCATTGGTTACCATGCATTGCCAATTTTTGTGCTAGTGATTGGACCAATCTGATATTGCATGTTAGTACATAGTTTAAAAGTAAGTGTTAAGGAGCACTAGATTCTACAGTGTTAGTCAAAGAAATGTTCTTGCATCGCAAAGAAGAAAAAGGAAATGGGAATCACCACTTTACTGTACTGTAAACAATGTGGATGAAAAGAGGAAAATCACTGTGGCCTTGGATGCTGAGATTAGAACTCATATCATCAAGAGAACTTGCAGCAACATGCATAGGATTGAAGCAGCGAAGCCAATAAAGTGTTTTACTAGACACTAAAAATAGAAAGCCATATATTATTATCAACATCACATCACAGCTCTTACCATACTTGGGAAGGATGTAAACGTGCATTTTTACTATTCTGAATTGTAAGCAAGGATGAAGACTCCTATACAATAAGGGATTTTTAGAAATACATTTATAAAGCAGTGCATGTGATATTTATAACAAATTTACCTCTGGTGTATCTTCCTGGTGAATGTTTTAAATTACAGTGATTGATTCACCTGCAGTGAATATTTGGCGGATGTCACATCAAACCCGTAACAATTAAAATAGATGTGCTGTGGTAAGTTGTGATAACACATGCATTTTGTGCCTTAACACAATGCAGAGTCATTCTGAATGGTCCCTCAATACACTGACACCACACAACTTCAACACACAAGCTTTGCAGTGTACCATAATGCATGTTAACAAACTACTGTGCATTGTAGTGCATTGCATTGCCCAAAATGGTGCATGTCCATTTTTTTAAGGACTTTACGAAAATGCATCAGGACACCAAGGTTTTAATGGACCATACGTGTGGACAACAGGTTATCTTCAAATGGGCACCCCTAATTTGGCTATATATTCATGTAAGCATCCATGCCACCCTGTAGCAGTATATCTGCTATAGGGCAGTCAGGAAAAGGTTAAATAAAAGACTTGTCACAAACTGTGTTTTTATTTATTTTTTACACTTTTTTGGTGAATGAGTAGGGGTGCTATGCACCCCATACTATAGTCCTATCTTGTTTCTGTTGTTCTGATATACTGTAGTAGAGTATGTGAGTTTTGTCACCCTAGGACAAGAAGTTTGTTAGTAGTTAAATTACCAGGTAAACATAAAGGAAAAAAAAATCTTGAAAAGAAAAACTACTGAAGTCACCATGCTAAAGGCTGTTTCTTGAGTTTACCTACCTATGTTTTCATCTCAGTTTAGTCTCGGTTCACACTACTGTGACCTAAAAGTTGCACGGCTTACTGTGCGCCTTTGCCAGGTGACTTGAGTACTACTTTGAAGCGACTCTGAAGCAAGGGAATGCCTGGGTAATCTTCCTGTAATGTCGGATTCAAATCACATCAATATAGATGAGGATCCAACTTGGAGGCGACTTCTATGGGTTATGGGAGCAAGTTGGATAGAAGTTGCCTTGAAGTAGTACAGGAAACTTTTCTAAAGTTGGAGCAACTTTAGTACTACTAATTGAGACAGCTCTCATTGACTAACATGGGATTTCACATGTCACACCACTTGGGGGTCTCACAAGTTGGATCCAAAGTCACAGCAGTGTGAACTGAGCCTTATGGAACAACTATGTAGACTGATCTGACACATTCCAGCCTTAAAATGTGTGCTTTCTTTTTTAATTAATAATGCAATACATTTGTGTATGGACCAGCATATGTACAGTTTGGCTAAACTTTTTGGTATAACAGGTTGGATCTCCCATATGGAAGAAAAATATATTTGAAATATATTTTAAATTTATTCTTCCCAAATATATTGACATATATTTGAAATGCTTCCATTTTGGTCATATTCAATATATTTAAAAATAATATATACACACACATATATAAACTGCATGTTGAAATGTGTTTTTATTACAAAATATATGAAAAATATTTAAAAACATATTTTTTTTCATATATTTTGTAATATATAAAAATGCATTTCAACAATATCTGTCTATCTACTATCTATCTATCTATCTATCTATCTATCTATCTATCTATCTATCTATCTATATCTATCTATGTATCTATGTATCTATGTATAGATATATATATATATATATATATATATATACACACACACACACACTGCATGTTGAAATGCGCTTTTTATATATTACAAAAGATGTGAAAAATATTTTTGAAACTATATTTTTTTAAATATATTCTTCAGATTTTTTTAACATATAAAAAAGTCATTTTGACCTTCCAAAAATGTAGATTTGTATTTTTAAAGACATACAGTATATTTGAAACGTATTTTAAAAATATTTTTCATATATTTTGTAATAAAAACGTATATCAACACCCGGGGTATATATATATATATATATATATATATTATTATTTTTTTTTTAAAAAATTGTAGCATTTCAAATATATGTCAAAAGGGTTGTATTTTTAAAATATATTTCAAATATATTTTTCTACCATGTGGGTTATGCCATTTCTACAAGTGAAACCTCTGTGATCAACTTGACCCTGTATACATTATTATTGGTCTTTGGTAATGATGTTTTTTGCATACTAAAGAATAATTAAATCTTTCTTTGCAAAGCATTGCACATACTGTATTTACTGGCTTGTTACATCTGATGCCAACAGAGCCAGATAAAACAAAAAAAAAGTATTCTTGGGTAATGAAGATTCACATGAGAAAGAAACCTCTAGTATAAAAGAACCAGATTTTATCTTTTAAATAGAACTAAAAATACAAGAGTAGCAAAGGCTGTGTGTTTATTGGTGACGCAATAAAGTGTCACAGTGTGCTGAGAATCCTCCTGCTGATAGATATTGGAATAATCGGGGTCACACCATGCACTGCTTACTTAATAACATTACCCGTTCATTTCAGATAACACAGTTCCAACAATATGCTCGTTTTGTGGCCTTTGGGATCCCTCTTA